TGGAACCAAACCCCAGCAGATACCAAAGGTCCACCCGTATTGTATTTCCGTTTCACCTTTCCTTCAAGGCAGCATACGTGATTTTGTTTTTCACCCATTTTAACCTCAAAGCAACCATGTGGGATAGATTAGGATGTGAAACAAATGACTGACCTTGTGTTGCCTGTGTATAAGCTTCCTTGGCTGAGCAAGGATTGAACCTGGATTGAGCAAGGATTGAGAGCTGAAGAGTGGGGTATAAATACTCGAAATAAATAAATAAATGAATAATAAACCTGGCTCTCCCCAGTCCAAAGGATCTGAGCACCCTGTCTCCTGCATCAGACAAGCCAATGGGTGTCTATGATATATAGATTACATTTTCAGAGGCAAAGGGGTCTGGATCTCCCTTAGTCTTGCAGCAGGCAACCACAGCTCTATCTCTCAGCTTGAATTCAGAACCCAAATTTCAGGGTTGAAAAATGTATAGATTAATGAATGAGGAAGAATGGTTGAGCATATCCAGCAAATTCAGGGGCTGGGTATGTGAAAGGATGCATAATTTTGGTCTTCTCAAAGTCTGAACAAGTTGCATGTGTTAAATAAAATCCCAAGTTCCAACTCACAAAGCAGTGCAGAAACATATAGTCTCTTTCAAAGCCTTAAATCCCAGAGTAAGACTTGGCAGTACTTCTGAGTGATCCAGGGAGGACCCATAGACAAAGGGTTTACTTGGGATCTTTTATCACTAGAGTTGATCTATAGACCAATAAAGGAGTATGACCTTTACAGCATTTAAGGTGGCACTCTTGATTGGTGCCACATGTGCCATCTCCTGTGCCAGGTTACAGACAATGCTTATATAGACTGATGCCAAAGGATCTCAATCTCAGTCACATAAACTATAACTTGGTGCCATAAATAATATGGAATGTGTGTATGCATGAATAAATTTACTTTGCTTACATAGTTGTGGCTTCCAATATTAAGATGACAAAATGCACACATGGATGCATATATAAATAATTGAATTATTTAAACTCTTTAAAGGCAGGGAGGATGGCTGCGACTTTGCTCAGCCCTGCCCATAAACTTTCTCTAAAATCCCAAGGTCTAGAAACTTAGTATATCTATATCTATATCTATATATCTATATCTATAGCTATATCTATACATACATATACACATACATACATACGGTCCTCCACATTCACTGGAGTTGGGCACAGGACTCCCGTGAAAGTGGAAAATCTGCAAATAATTTTTTAATTGAGTGAACACCTCTCTAGGAATCTCTAGGTCATCCAGTGCAACTCTGTGGTCAACATCTGCCTGAAGAATGATGCTGGAGGATAGAATCATACAAAAGGTCCTATAGATGCCTAGAGAAGTATTTTCTCTTGGAATCTCTCGGTCCTCCAGTGCAATTCTATGGTCAACTTCCAGCAGAATTTCTCTGGAGGACCTAGAGATTCCCAGAGAGAACATATTAATCAAACCCGCAAATAATCAAATCTGCAAAAGTGAACGCTGCAAATGTGGAGCGACCTCAGATTTTACCCGATGCCATTCCCATTTCTGTGGTGGACTCTTACATTACATCTAGTTCTACTTTGTGTATATGTACAGTATACACATGTGTGCATTCTTCTCACATGGTGCAACCCTTGTTGTGTCTCCTCCAGGACCCAGGCAGTAAGAATCCAAGAGAACCGCTACCGCCATCCTTCCTGCTACATCTGCACTGACTGTGGCCTCAACTTGAAGATGCGTGGCCATTTTTGGGTCGGGGAAGAAATGTACTGCGAGAAGCATGCCCGCCAACGCTACCAAGGGCCGGCAGGGGGCAGCACGGTCACTGCTGTCTACTCTCAGTCCTAAAGTCCCATGGACTGGAGCAGGAAAGAAGAGCAGGTCCTGCCTGCCCTCTGGAGGACTTCTTTGCAATAACTAATCAACCTGTACGATGGCTCTTTTGATTGATTATTGAGGCTTCCTCTTCTTCTTCCATCATCACACCCAACCAAGGTTCAACCAGTAAAGGCATAGGCAATAAGGGGAGTTTCCTAAGGCCCTAAAGCCAAGCGCATGGAAAGCAATGAGAGAAGGACTTGGGGAATTTGGAAAGCAGGGAACGGAGCTCTTCAAGGCATTTTCAGTTGGGTTGTTGGTGTGGAATTGTTATCTTAGGAGGGCAAAGTCTGTATAGCACAAACCCTGCCATATTTGGCACTTAATGGTGATTTTCGGGATTAGCTAAA